CAGCGCGTTATGCTGAGTTCGCGCCTTTTTTCCGATACTATCGATAGCTTTCCATTGTGAACTAGTGCCAGCTGCGAGACTGCCATCAGGGTTGCCAGACCTCGGCACACAAAATACATAATGAAAACTCAGTTAGCTTTGGATATTGTATATTGAACGAAAATAAACAATAATTGAGATATCTGAATGTAATTCCTTTTGGCAAGTCGAATTTTTAACATTTATTCAAACCAACAAAATTTGAATTTGTAATAAATCTTTAAGTAAAACGAAAAGTTTTAGAACCCACAGCCTAAAAATGTTCAATGAGCTTATTGCGTACATGCATAGCATAGCACGAAAGTTATTTCTGGCTCGTCCTGTGCCCGTTGCGCGTGGAGTAAGTCCAGTGAAGGGTCTAATTTAACTGTTATTTAACTGTCATTCTCTCTCTTCCTTAGACTGCGTGTCGTCCTCTAGTGAAGAACAGTTTTTTTGCAAATCTGATATTCTTCATAGCGATATTCTCGCCGTACTACGTATGCTGTGTACACCCCATCACCCTATAGCGACTAGAACATGATTTGAATGCTGTAATATTTTTAATTTTGTAACGCTCGAAACCAACACACTTTAGTATATGATGTATTCTTAATACAAGGCAAAGAAATTACATAAAAATGCATTAAAATTATGCATTTTAATGAAGCTGTGTATTGTTTTTATTAGTATATGCTCCGCATTTTCAAGCTATCTACAATATAATATCGATAGAAACTATCGAATAACAAGTTGGCAGCATTTTTTGCAGGCTTTTGCAATGGTGGCAGCGCTGAAAAAGTTTCTGGCGCGTTAAATTTGAATTTTAAATGTGTTCGTTTATTGCTTGCTCAATTGAGTATTACAAAATGTATTTAAGGAAATATGCAAATGCATAATTACTTTAAGTTCGTTCTCAATAAACATTTGGACTCTTTTTTGTTACATAATTATTTATTGGTTTTTAGGCGTCTAAAAAGTGGTACATTTAATTTTTTTGTGCACATTTTGCAATTGGTTTTATCTTCGAATAGATTTACAAAGATGATTTGCTTATATATTTTTGTTTTTTTTTTTTTTCGCACATTGTGTGAGTGTGTGTTGTTGCGGTATACATAAGTTACAGTATAATATGTTTTGTTTACGTTTAACTTAAATATTATTAATCACATGCAATAGTTAAATAATAAAAATAATAATTATACATAGTTATAACATACACAGACACACATCCAACCGAACGCAGTTGTTCTTTCTCGATGGTCTTTAGTAATTAGTATGCATATATATAGTCGTATATATATATGTATGATTTTATGTTTATAGTAAGTAGATCAATTTGTTGTATTGTTTATTATCCTTTTGTTAATTGGCTACTAACTAAATTTCATGTTCTCATAAATCATTTTCTTTTTACACTTTACACGCTAATATACTACATATGCATATGTTTGTATATATATATTTATTTATATATATATTTCAATATTTTTTCTTAAATGTTTACGTATTTATTTTTTATATTTTCTTTGCCTTTGCAATATTTTTGTATACTTTTTGCAACACAAAAAAAATATTAAATTGTGAATTTTAAATATTTTCCTTTCTCTTTTTGAAGCTGATCAAAAGCTGATTCTCAATTGCAATTGCTCAGTTCTCATCTTCAGATCAATAATTGCATAATATATATATTTAGCTGGTATTTAGTGTGTGTGCATTTGATGACATTTCATTTCAAATTGTTCAATTATTTATATAATTAATTTAAATAATTCTACATATAAGATATTTATGTATACATATATATCCATAGATATACATAGTTCATATACCATATTTAATAGATTTTCATCGTCTCATGCGTATAAAGCTGTAAGTCTTCTAGTTATTTTCCCAAAAATGTGCGTTTTACTCAACTAAATTCCATTTTTATGCATTTTTCTTTTTTCTTGTTTCTTGTTTCTTGTTCATAATCTTTGAGCTCTCACAAAAATGTTGAATAACAATTATTCGGGTTTCAATATTTTGTTTGCTTATTTAACACATTCAAATATTTAAATTCTTTTTATTTTTCATTTTACGTATTGCTTGCGCTCTCTCTCTCTCTCTCTAGCTCTAGCTCTAGCTCTCTTTAAACAGCAACTACTCGGTATTATTCATTTATTTTTGTTTCTATTTAATTACACCAAAAAAGGAACAATTCGCTTTGAACATTGAGCTTTTATAATTTACGTACTGTACGGCTATTTATGTATGTATTTATATATATATATTTATATTTATATATTCATATGAGTTGTCAAGAACATGTTTGTTTCAAAGTTGAGCCTATTTTGTTTCTGCTTTAATATATTTGTGTGTTTCTTGTGTTTTGTTTGTGCAAACCTCGCAACACATTTATTTATATGGCACAAAAGTCTAATTGGATTCAGCGTTGAGGTGCTAAGTGCTCAGGCGTTGGGAAAAGCTAGAAGAGGAAACACAAAGAAAAAACAAAATAGAAGGGGGTGGCAACGCCAAACAGAGTAACGTAACGCAACTCCAATCGGATTTTGAATTTGCAGAATCGAATTAGCTTAGACACTAATAAATTAATTGTAACAACTTAGGCATTACACAAATAATAATAATAAAGATAATAATCAAAATGAAAATAATAATATTAATAATAATAATAATAATTAGATTTTTAATTGCGCTGCTGCTGCTACTGCTACCGTTGCCTTCGTATTATATTTATATATATATATTTTTTTTTTATTTATATATATTTCTCATTGTTTTCTTCTTTTTGGGATTTGGGTGCTGCTTTAACTACAACTACTATAGAGTGTGACTAGTGTGAGAAGCAGGCTTGTCGCAGTGGCCGTCAGCGCGCTCGACGCGCCCTTTGAGTTGTCGCGCGACTCGCCATCGAAGGTGTTGGGCGTGCTGCCCAGTGGGTCGTCGGTGTGCGAGATGGGACCTGAAAGGGCAATAGATTTTCAGTAATTTCTAAGGGAATCATCGGGGCTGTGCAATAAACCTACCATCACCGGAGCCATCGCCCGAGCCGTGCATGCTGCTGTACTCCTCCTCGTCGTCGCTGATGTGACCGCCGACGCCAACGCCGCCGCCGCCACCACCGCCGCCGGAGCCCTCGTGACCCATGTCGCTCTGAATGTCATGATTGTTGCTCACAGGCGCCTATAAGCACGATTATAATGAATATTCATATAGGCTCTCTGATCTCTCTGCTCTATCGACTCGACTCTACACTCACCGTCACGCCGATGGTTTTGCGTATCTTCTGCAGTTTGTCCACCAGCTCGTTGAGCTTGGTCAGCTGCGATTGGTTCTCCCAGGGCACCTCGGGATTGTAGCGCTGCCTGTCCTCGCCGGGCATTATCAACAGCTGTGTGTAGTCGCCAACCCGATCTCCGGTCCAGCAGAGATGATCGTTGCTCTGTGTGTAGTCCTCGTCACAGAAGCTGAAACGAAAACTCAGTTAGCTTTGACTTCACATCTGGAGAGAAATTCCCCCACTGAGCTAGCTGCGCTCAATCCCATTTGGCACGTCAAACTTAAAGCAACATTTATCGAAACTACAAAAATTTTGAATTTCCATCAAGTCTCAATAAAATCCATTGACATCAAATATTTTAAAGCTCGGAGCCTGAAAATGTTCAAGGAACTTGTTACATATGTGCACAATGTTGCGCATAACTTTTGTCTTGTTCGTCCTTTGGCCGTTGCAGCACGTGGAGTAAGTGCAAGTCCTTTACATAAATGTTATTAAATAATTGTCTTCTCTCTCTCTATCTATCTCTGTCTTTCTTAGACCGGCTGTCGTCCCATTGTGAAGAATTGTATTTTGTCCAATATTATATTCTTTATTGCGATTTTCACGCCGCTTTACGTGTGCCTGCTTAAGGATGTCCTCAAGATGCTGCGCGACGTTAACAATAAGTTCACCATTGGCAAGTGAATCGGCCTCGGAGACGTTGCCAGCTCTTTGAAGCAGTCGTTGGGCAGATTTTACCGTATGGAAAACCAGATGCAGCGTACAGACATCCGCACACATTAAACTCCAAATATATTTATATCATTTCTCGCTTACGTGTGTGTGGCATTCAAATTGTGTGTTGCTGTTGTTGTTGTTATTGTTAGTTGACTTACTTGAAGACGATGTTGGTGAAGAAGTCCTTGGACTTCTGTATGGTTGACAGGAAGTGCAGAATGCTAGCCTCTGGCGACATTGCCCACTTGATGCTCACATGCTGCTGCAGCGGCTGCGTCTCGGCGGCGGTCAGCGAGGGCAGCAGATTGGGCGTGCCACAAGTCTTCTTCACCTGCAAAGAGAGAGGGAGAAAGAGATAGAGTGGAGAATGGGTTTAGCTTGGTTCGCATGCTCAGCTGCATTTCCTGTACCCCACGCTAATCGTCTGCCCCATGCCCCAGCAGGGCCCAGCTGCAACTCGTGCCGTTGCATGTCAATTGCAACTTGCTGCACGCTGCCGACTCGCTGAATAAATGTCATCTAATTGAGCAGTTTAAATCCGTTTCGAACTCGCAGCACTCCAGAAACTGGTTGCACGCTGCATTGGCGGCATTTGGCATTCGGTATTTGCTATTGGGGCATCCGCCCGAAGGCCGCTCATAAAATTAATTTAAAATGTTCATAAATTAAGCCGCAATTAACGTCCTTGTGCTGCAGCGCAACACGCACGCTCTTGTCACATCAAAGAGGAAATACTTTTCGTAATGCGAGCACTTCACATGTTAAATATTGTAATTATGGTTTAAATTTAATACAAGTCGAACGTGTGCGCATGTATGTGTGTATTTATGTGAGAGAATGGGTATGAATTTAATTGAAACTTGACATGGGATCATTTTGCAGCTGCAGTGCATTCAAGTTGATTTCTGAATGCCACTCAGAGTTCATAAGCGAGGCAGATATGTCTGTACATGTCCTGGATCAGATGTGAAGTAAAGGCAATGATTACTGAGGACGCATACCAGATTTTAGTGGCAACTGAAGTCCTATAAACTTTTTAAATTTCATATTCGAAGTGACTCTACATTTGATATGTCAGATTACTGGAAACTCGTTTAAGATCTAGTTATAAGAATTTATTCGACTTTTATTTTTAGTTTTTTCTGTGATGAAATATTTAAAGTTCAATGTTCTGCTACCTCTTAGGCAACTTAATCTAAATATACAAAAAATAAAAAACCTTGAGGATGGTGTCGACTGAGTCTTCTCCTAGCTGCGAACTCTACAAATAACAGCTGATCGTTCGTTTCTTTACGCTCTGTTCGTCAGCCGAACATGCTCACTCGCTCTCTCTCTCTCAGCAAGGGACTTCGGTTATTTTCTACTTCTACTGACGAACTATTCGGGTCGGACACGCCTTTACCGAACATCATTTAGGGAGAGATACGTTCGACTTTCTCTCAGTGAGACTGAGTAACCTTCTCATGCAATACCAATACATACGCAAGAGATGATTCGCTTCATAAAAGGTTTCTGTCTAATCTGGAACTAGCTTGTTGAAGAGCCGATGCAATCGGTTGCTCACTCAGTTTTCTCCCAGACATTCATATGCAGACATGATGAAGCGCTCAAAAGTAGTTTGCAGGCTATCATAATCATAATCAATACACTCTCAATTTGATAAAGATGAATATAGTTCCATTCAATAAAGAAACTCTTTCCCAATTACAAAGTCCTTCCTTATCCTCTAGCAAACATCTCACCTATACAGCACTACCCCAGTTCAACCCACTCACCTTCTTCTCCAGCTCTGGTCCATTTTCCATGGCTCTCATGATGGCCTCCGAGAGCTTGGTGTCCAGCTGCTTGATGGTGTTCATGATGCCGCTCTCGGAGCGTATGTGGCCAGCCACCAGATTGTCGAGGCCCTCGACCACACTGGCCCAGGGACCGTCCAGCAAGCCCGAGTACTGAGCCGAGCAGCCGCTGTAAAGCAAACATGCGGACCATGAGCAACAGGCGAGGATTGAGAGTTTTGCACCCACACTTACCGCATCACGTTCATGCAGTAGCTGTAGCAGACCTTTGGCCTGTTGTGCTCCGTGTGCCCGTTGCAGTTGGGGCAGTAGTGCATCTTGAGCAGATGCAGCTTGCAGGTCTCCGTCAGCTGCTTGCCGTACAGAGCATCCGTTTCGCTGAGCACCTTGGCGCTCTGGAGCAGGGCGCTCATAAAGATGTTGGACATGTGAACGCTGTGCACCAGATTGGTCTGAATTTCCTTGGGTATCTGGCCGAAGGGCTGCAAATCATCATAGTTGTGCTTCAGGCAGTTGGTGTAGTCATCGTGCAGCTCGCCATAATTGTCCTTGGTCAGATGCACCGCCTGGTGGTAGGCAACGGGGAACAGATTCTCAAAGAACTTGTGCAGTGCGCTCTCCAGGCTGCTCTGGCTATTCAAAATGCTATTGCCCTGGCCATTATTGCTGCTGTAGTTCGACGTGTACTTCAAGTGGCTGCAGAGGGAGCAGGGGATGGGGGAGAAAGTTGAGTAAATAGTTCAGGCACCACACACAAACACAACATACTTGATGATTTCCGTGTAGAGCTGCTGTATGAGCATCCGGGACAGCGGCTCCATGCGCCTGTAAACCTGCGAGAAAACATTCAATGTCTTGTTCTCCGACTGCTCGGCCAGCTCCACGACGTGACCTGCAAAGGCACAGAGGAGCGCAGAGGGGGGAGAAGTGTTCTTATTATTTGTTTGTTCGACATGGTAGTAAAATTTAATCACTCTGTTATTGGAGTGCTGCCTAGCTATAAGTCCTTTCTCTCTCTCTGTCTCTCTCTCTCTCTCCCTGCTGGGATTTGGCAATGCTGACTTAATGGGCTGCCTGGGATTTGTTACCATTTGGCTGCTGTTGGTCGTTAAGGCAAAAGTTGCTGCTATTGTTTCATGATGCTTTTAGTTAATTAAATCAAAATTATGTGCAGGTAGAGAGTGAGACAGAGAGAGAGAGAGAGAGAGAGAGCTAACAGATTTTCTATTATTTGTTTGATATTTGCCAAATCAAATCAATAAAATAGTTGCTTTTATTCTCAATGGAAATCATCTTAGCTGGGAAAACTTTGCCGCATTCATTCGCTTGACTCATTGCACTCGACTCGACTTCCATTGTCAATTCCATTCACAAAAAAAATAATCTGTCTACTTTTTAGCCAGCCTGACAAATGCTTAATTTGAACTTATTTTGTTTCATTTATCGTCAGTCTCCATGCTCAATTTTCCGATCAATCAATCGTATCGAATCGTTGAGCCAATCAACAATCAAATCGTTGTATTTTGCGATCCCCCCCTCTGAGCTACCTCGACTCGTATGCTAATCACAGCATTGCTCAAAATAATCTGTCAAAGTGTCAGCGCGAGCTGTCTGAGTGGATATTGTGAGGCATTAGATTATTGATTGGCAAGCGATACACCTGACAGAGACACACACACACACACACACACATGCAGAGAGAGACACACTTGCAACACGAGCTGGTGGCACGTTATTATCGCAGCTTACAAATCCCCACTCTATATATATATATACATTTAAGCTTCTATAGAATTTGACCTCTGCCTGTGTCTCATCTCATCTGCCGATTGTTAGCCTCGCTTCTGCCAGCTGCTCGCAGAGCGTGGCAAATTCTAAATTGCAATCTGTTGTTTTCTATGGCCAACGACTTGGTTTTTAAATAAAAGTGTCAATCTTTTTGTTAATTGGCCAAACAACAGCAACAACAACAACGACAACAAGAAACCACAAAGGCGAAAAACATTTCAGCCTGGGTAGTGTTTTATATTTTTTTATGATACCCTACATACACTGAACGTGCTTGAAGAGGGTATATGGGTTTTGTGTAACAGGCTGAAGTAGGCGTGGGTAGGATGTAGGTTATGTATACTATATATGTCTGATCAGCAGCTGTAGGTGAATAGCTCTAACCATGCTCAGCTGTTCATCCTATCCTTTGTCTGCCTGCATAAATTTGTCAGTCTCGTTTACTATTTGAGCTATATAAATATGTATTATTAATAATGTGCATATTTCAGATATATATTATTTTCTCTTTGCCATTGTCTATATATCTAGTTCCGCTTTCTCTATTCGTTGGCTCGTTTCTCTTTTTAGCTTTGATTTAGAGAATATTATTTTTTTTTGTTTATTATATTATGATTTAAAGAGCTTCTCACTCCACCCAAATTGTTGCCATCTCTGATAGCTCATAAAATATCATTAGCTGCGCCTCTCAACAACTACTCATGCCAACAGCAGCTCAGTGCAGGGCAGTTGCCACTCGAGCATGCTCAGCCTAAGCACTCACTCAGTTCATTTTTTTTTTTTTTTTTAATACTCATCGCAACACGCGAGTTGCTCTTGCTCTTCCTCTTGCTCCCGCTATTGTTGTTGCTGTGCAAAGCATTTCCGTTCTCAGCCTTGGGTTCATTTTTGGGCTTGGCTTCGGCTGACTGTCTTGCTCTGCCTTCCCTCTGTCTCGCTGTCCAACTCACTGGCTCTTTATCGGCTAATGGCCTTTGATGCGTCAGAGCTTACCCCTTTTTAATTAGCTTTCTTGCGATTTTGTTGGCTGCGCTGCAAATAAACATTGCCAACAGCTGCCATAACAACAACAGCTACAACAACAACAACATCAACAATAGCAACAGGAACAAGCTGCGTATTTGGCCAGCTAATCATTTGTCAATTGCCGCCGATAATTGCGCAGGATATGCGGCAGCGGAGTGTGAGCGAGCTAATCAATTGCCATAGAACAATAACCTTGTTATTGATCAATTAATTATGAACAGTGCCTGCAATTCGTATGCCAGCAGACAGCACAGAGGGAATGCACTTAACAGTAGGAAACGGCGCAGCCCTTCAACCATTATCCTTTCCGCTAATCCACTTCGAAATGTGGCTGAATGACGCCTTTGGAATGGGCCATCGACCCTCCACTGTCCCCGCTTCACGCTCTCTCTCTCTCTCTCTCTCTCTCTCTTTCTGTCTCTGTCTCTCTGTCTGCATTTAATAATTAACACACAGCGGCTAGCAAATGCGTTGATGGCCGCAGATATTCGCACATTAATTGCTAATTGAGCGGCGAAATTGTTCGCCAGAGTGCACATGAGGCAGATATATATCGGGGAGTATATATATATATATATATGTATGTATATAAATATATATAAGTGTGTTATATGATATGCTAACATGCTGCTATTAGTTGTGCAGATGCTAGGCATTAGTCAATTCGTAAGTTACTTGTAGCAGCTGTAGATAGCCTAAAGAAGTGGCAAAGTAAAAGTGCTCTAGTTGGGAGTGCACGACTTATAGATGCCCTGTTTGAACTGCATGCTTTGCTTTTGCAGGGAAATAGCACAGATATTGAAAAAGTACAGAACTAAAGCTAAACATACCATTTGCCCAATTTATGTTAGAGTTAGAGTTTCTCCAAAATATATATATATATATATACATATTCACCTGCCCACTTCGCTCTGTTACATTCATTTTAGCAAAAACAATATGCTCTAAAATTCACATTTAATATTTCCACAATTTATGACTTAATGATAATTGTGCATTAATGAATTAATATAAAACACTCAAGTAGAAACGAGTTTTTAAACTTTATACTGTAGACACGCTAATTACTGCACTATCTGCAGCTAAGTAATACAATGAGTTAACTTTGTAGATACAAAAATATCATTAATTGATTAACGCTTATGTATGAAATGAATAAGTTTAAGAAGCAGATGCTATGCCTCAACTATTCTATCTTATTTGCCTCTATGAGTCAAGTTTCAAGTCGTCTGCTCTTTCGCAGAGAGATGAATTAAAAATGAAGAATGAAAATGCTAATTGAAATGTAAATGTTCTTCTATTAATATTGTTATAAAATGCTTAGCAACAAGTTGGCAAGAAATTTCTGTGACTGTGACGAAGAGACTTTGACTGAGTTAACGCTGCGTATACTTAATATTATTGCAGCTGCTTTGTTGGCCTAATGCGAGCAATTAAGTTGAGGTTTTCATAGACACACACACACACACATACATACAGACATATATACAGCCCACACGCAACAGAGTCAGCCACGGGCTGGTGTGCATACACACACACACATATGTATATCTAGTATATATATGTACATGTATGTGTGTATAATGATATATCTCTGCCTGAGGGCATATTCAAAACTACAACACAGCTTACACACACACACACACACAAACACACACACACACACACTGTTTGTTGTTTCATATGCTGTGCAAAACTAATTGCAATTTGGGTCTCTTCCGCTCACACAGCTCTCTCCCTCTCTTCCCGCCTCTCTCCCCATGTCTCTGCTTTTTGGTAGCATTAATAGGGCACCTGATTATTGTGTGGGACTTGGCAAATGCTTTTGGCCAATGTAACATGAAAATTTCATTAGTCTAAGGTTTTTCACAGTCACACATCAAGCTTTGACAACTCGAATGTCTAAAGCGGACATGCTGATTGAACTAGACAGAGCTCCAGCCAAGTGTGGCCAATGTTATTTCAGGGAGAGCGAGAGAGAGAGGCAGATTGAGTGACTCAGTCAGCCGGTGGTCCATTCAAGCGCTTCTCGCATGCATAGAACAAATATCAGCGCTAGGCTTCATTGCTTCATTAGCCAGCAGAGCTGGCGCTGAAGCGGGATTAAGCACGGGTGAGCATGGTGGGCAGGCAAGCAGACAGAGCGCTCAGGCACAGACCCAGGTCCAAGTCCAGGTTCAGGTCCAACTCCCGGC